AAGAAGTAAAACTCTCAGTCTTTGAAGATGACATGATACTTTATGTGGAAAATCCAAAAGATTCTACTCCAAAACTGTTAGAACTCATAAAGGAATTCAGTAAAGTGTCAGGATATAAAATCAATGCATAGAAATCAGTTGCATTTCTATACACCAACAACAACACAGAAGAAAGAGAAATTAAGGGGTCGATCTCATTTACAATTACACTCAAAACCACAAAATACTTAGGAATAAACCTAACCAAAGAGGCAAAAAATCTGTACACAGAGAACTATAAAGTACTCACGAAAGAAACTGAGGAGGATACAAAGAAATGAAAAAACATTCCATCTTCACGGATTGGAAGAACAAATATTGTTGAAATGTTGACACTGGCTGTAGCAACTACTTACTAGACAAGGAAAAGAAAAGCAAAAATGAACTATTGGGAATCCATCCTGATAAAAAGCTTCTGCACAGAGAAGGAAACAATCAACAAAACTAAAAGGCAGCCTATGGAACGGGAGAATTTGATATGCAAATGACATATCAGATAAAGGGATAGTATCCAAAATCTATAAAGAACTTATCAAACTCAACATGCAAAAAATAAATAATCCAGTTAAGAAATGGGCAGAAGACATGAATAGACATTTTTCCCAAGAAAATTCCATTTCTATTATGTATACACACACACACACACACACAATGGTATATTATTTAATTACTCAGGTATCAAAAAAAATGAAATCTTGCCATTTGCAATGATGTGGATAGAGCTAGAGGGTATTATGCTAAGCGAAACAAGTCAGTCAGAGAAAGACAATTATTATATGATTTTACTGATGTGTGGAATTAATTTAAGAAACAAAATGGGTGGGGGGGAACCAAGAAACAGATACTTAACTATAGAGAACAAACATGGTTACCAGTGAGAGGTGGGTGGGGGATAGGTTAAATAGGTGATGGGAGTTAATACGTATACTTGCTGTGATGAGCACTAGGTGTTGCATGGAAGTGTTAAATCACTAAATTGTACACCCAAAACTAATACTATAGTGTATGTTAACTAACTGGAATTTCAATAAAAACTTTTAAAAATGGTATGTTAATATCATAAAAGAAAGAAACAGAACTTGCCACAAGTAGACATACACTCTAAGAAATTCCAAAAAGTGTTCACCAGGCACAAAGAACATGATTTCAGATTTAAGGTCTGGGATGTCAATGTGAATTAAGAGCAGGGTGGTGGTAAATATGTATATAATTGTATGAGCTTTGACTGAATGAACTATAAATAGAAATGTCTTAGGAGTTTTAAAAATAGAATTAAGAAATGGAAGCTTCGTATTTTGGTATTTCTGAATTAGGGGCAGAGAGAGGTCCCTCAAACTCTCCTGACAGCCAAAGTGCTATTATTCTGTCAATTCCATGAACTCAAATCTTGTGATTCAATTATCTTTGCATCTGCCAGTACCTAATATAGTCTTCAACCCTAGAAAAGTAGTATAGTAAAGGGATTATGTGGTCATTGCTTGGAATTGAGTCCTGGCTGTACTTTCTACCAATTGTAGAACCTTAGGAAACTTCTTTAACCCATCTGTGCCAAATCTTCCTGATATGTATAATGGAGTTATATAATAATAGTTGCTTTTTTACCTATTATGAAGATAAAATAAGATGTGCCTGGCACAAGATGCTTAATACTGTTAGCAACTTATATTATGTAAGAAAATAGAGATTTACAGGTAAATTAGTTGTGTTTTATAATGATTAACCTCATTCATATAAATATTGTTTAGCCTGATATATTTAATGACATATACTTAGAATATATCTTAATTATGTTAAAGCAGTTTTTAAAATTCTCTTTCAATCTTGAAATAATTTATCCCTAGAATAATACATGCAATATTGGGCAATCTTACTCTCTATTCATATGATATTATATCTGAAGAAAAGACCCAAACCAATTTATTTCTCCTTTAAGCCAGAAATATTTCAGAATATTGTTTTTCTTAGGTGCATTGCCTTGAAATCGAGAAGGTACTTCATCTTCACTACACATTTCAAGATCACGCTAGAGTAATTAAAACAGTGTCCATTTAATATGAGGATTCTGTATCTACAAGGTGTTTCCAGTCACAGCATTAGCCCATTTGATTCTTACCTGAGCGAAGAATATTGTAAAGAAAGCTTTTATGAAAGCCATTAATCATTGTCATTTAGTACATAATTGAAAAGGCAAAACTTTTAGCAGAAGATAAATTAAACAGTGATATTAAAATCATCATTCAAAAAATGGCACTGGTATTGGTATTACCAAATATAGTTATTGACTGACCATACAAAAATTATATAAATAAGTGAGATTTCATAACAAGAGGACATTGCACACATGTAATACCACTACTCTTTGTGAATGTTCATTAAGTAGCAATTGAATTAGCTTACCAATAACTTTAATAGTAAAAAAACCCACTATGATACTATTTTATTTATATATTTTATATATATATTTATATATATTTATTTATAATATATAATAAATATGTCATATTTATTATATATATTTATTTATATATTTATATATTTTTCTTACCACCAATACTGAAATATCTCTTCAAGATAATTATGGCTGATTATTCCCTCCTCACATTTTTTATCAGATCTGGGAAACATCTGCATAGGACTCCATTTAAGGGAGACAGTGCTGGAGATAAATCTATCATCATTAGTATGAGCTCAGTCTTGTGGTATTTTCTAACTGTGATACAGAAAATCAGATAATCTTTCCTTGAGAAAATCCTTGAATTAGTTAATATCTTAATTAGTTTTTATTAATTAACTAGTCAGTATCTTTTCTATTCCATTTTTCTATCTTTACAAAAAACTTATATATATCATAATATTCTATGGCATATGCATAAGAATCTTAATTCAGTCCATTATCCTTAAAAGTAGTGAACAAAAACATCATCACTCTTTTACTTTTAATATACTGTGTTTGATTATGATTACTCTATTTGTAAAATACACACAGGATAACTCATATCCATGCAACACTCTAGTTTACAAACTGGTCTGACAGTTCTCATGGATCTCCAAAGAACCTCGTGAGACAGGTGGATCTTGCGCAGCTAATATTTTCAAGAGGAAGTAAAACAGGAAAGAGAACTTTGTATGGGAATATAATGCATATCACAGCACTCTTGAACAGTTTAGTATAAGAAAAGGGTGGAGGCCTCATAATTATATTACTTTGTCTCATCCTTTCTTGGCTCTAATAAATATGAATAGAAGTAAATAAAAGATATGCCATGTTTATAAAAGAGAAGAATTTAGATTTTAATATCTAATCTCCAAAATTGATAGGTAAAAGTCAATTTCAATAAAAACTTTGCAGGCTACTTATTTTTTTATTTTAGAAAAAGTTCATCTGTGGTGATAGAAATCTGAACAGTAGTTGCATATGAAGGTGGGTAGAGACTGACTGGAAGCAGATATGAAGAATTGCTTGAGAAATGGAAATGTTTCTATTTTGACTGGCATTTCTGGTTACATGGGTATGTACACTTGTCAAAATTCTAAGGATTGTATATTTAAGAGTTGGATTGTGAATTGATTCACGATATGGCTATTATTGATGTGGTTAGCATATCTCATTTGATCAGAGACTTTAATCTGATAAATCAGTCCTATTTAAACACAAAAATAACATAGCAACCCACACTATTTATTCATCAGACATCCTCTAAGTGAAGGAAAGAGGAATATACCCCCCAAAAAAAATGAAGCATCATAAACCATCCCTCAAGAAATTTAATCCAGTTAGAAATACTTTTTTAAATTTGCTTTTATCTGACTACCAGTTAGATGAGTTGGGTCATTTTGTAAGACTCTTTCAATTTCATCTTTTTATTGTAATAGTTGTTTGTTTTGTTTTTATTTTTGTTTATTCAGATTTCTTCTTTCATGAATTGCTTCTTCATGTTTTGTACCCATTTTACTATTGGATTTCCAGACTACTTTGTTTATTTATTTATAGCAGGATTTTATTTTTCTACATATAAATCTTTAATTGCTTATATATATTCTAAATATTATTTAATATTCCTTTCATTTTGTACCTCTTTTGTTTTACAGAAATATCTTTATGGTGTGCACCTTATATATCACATTTATAAAATAGGTGTATACTCTTTTGGTATCAATAATTTCTACTTATTTTCTGACTTCTATTGTAACTTCTCTGTTTATCCTTCAGTTTTTTAGAAGAGGTTTTTTACTAACTGCTATTTTTTTATTTCCCAGAGTAGGAATATGTAAAAAGAGAGGGTGCAAGATGGGAAAGGGTAGGTTACCTTTTTCGCTTCTAAACGATTTCTGATTTACTACACTTTGCTCAAAGTTGTAGCTATAGGATACAGAATCTTTAAAATTGGGGGAACTTGGTTTGTGACTTTGTAAGTGGGTAATTTTTTATAAATACTTCATGTGCTCTTAAAAAGAATGTGTAGAAAATCTTGTACTTAGAGAATAGTCTAAAATAGATAAGCTTCTTCTTTTTTTTTTTTATGTTGACTAGTGTATTTTTCTCTAGCCCACTATCTTACTAAAGTAAAATTGAAGAAGAATTTCAGGCTTATTAAATTATTGTCATTGAGTCAACAAAATTAAGTTTTTACATGGATAAAAATAAATGATTTAATAGATAATAACACTAAAAATACTATATAAAAATATCTGGCCTTAAGAAAAATAATAAAATGCATTTTTGCTTATATTAAATTAATAAAAATTATAAGAGCTTTGAAAATCACAAGTACACAAAGTATATTTCTCTACTGGTAAGCAGGCTACACTTATTTTTTGCTCTTTAAAAATATATAGTCCTTCATTATTCATACTCTGTGTATCATATGTATTAAGGAAAAGTTATTTTCTTAATATCACACATCATTCTTTTTTCTTTATCTTAATTCACAGGAATGTATCAAAGGGAATTCATTGCTTACCAATTTGCTTTCTGTACTGATCAACAGGAAGTTTTATAGTAGAGGCATCTTTTCTACCCATCTTTGATCTCCAAAATGCCTGCTGCAAAAAAAGAAAATAATTATGATAAAGTCCTAAAAAATCAAAAGGACTATCTACAAACTTCAGGAATAATTTATTCCATAAAATCCATTTTTAAAGCAATGGGTAAAAATGTCTTTGACTATTCCCATTAGATATCAGTAAAGAACACAAATTCTTTCAAATAAATTATCAAGGATACAATTGCTGGTAATTAAATTTCCCAATTATTTGTTCTTGGTAACATTCATTTTATCAAGTACTATAAATACTCAATTAAACCAAACTGTTAAAAGTATTATCTGTAAATGTGAAAACCATGTACCATTGACTCAGATGGGTTAGGGTTGTAGGCATGCTCTTGGCAGTATGTTTCTTTCTAATTACCCATTCTGTTACACAAAAAGTTTGAATCTCAAATACTTTGAATCTTGTTTTAAAAAGTATGGCAGGTAAGAAAAGTGCATAAATATGAGTTCTAGTTCTGTCTCTCCTTCTGTAAACAGTATAAATGACTACCATTTACTAATATTCTCATGCTTACTCATTTCATGCACTGTTTGATTTAATCCACAACACATCTTTCAAATCTTACTATTTTTATTGAATTTAAATATGTGGCAGACATGTGTGGAATTTAAGAAACAAAACAAATGGGCAAGGGGGGAGAGGGGGAAGGACAAGAGAGAGAGGCAAACCAAGAAAAAGACTCTTAACTATAGAGACCACACTGATGGCTACCAGAGGGGAAGTGGGTGAAGGGATGGGTGAAGTAGGTGGTAGGGATTAAGGAGGACACTTGTGATGGGCACAGGTATTGTATGGAAGAGCTGAATTACTGTATTATTCATCTGAAACTAATATTACACTGCCAACTAACTGGAATTGAAATAAAAACTTTAAAAAATTATATGTGGCAGAAACGCACTGTCACATGGAACTAATCAGAAACAGTTAAGAAGGATACTAAAATCTGAGGAAATTTTATTTACAACTTTGTCTAAAAAAATAAGTGAATTAAAACGAATCCTTGGACCTCTAAACTTAAACCAGCAGATTGCAGCCCCCAAGGAAGGCAAACTGTAGATTTGGAATATCCACTTCATATGTGACCAGAAAGGAGAACCATCCAGAAGGTGAGGGCCATAAAGAACAATGGACAAGGAAATTTCTCTAAAAAAACATAATTGAGGGTCCAAGGAAGAAACTTCTGTCTGCACAAGAGGCCTTATCAGTGGCCTCGTGCACAGCAGGCTTCATTATCATGCTGCATCAGTGCTTCCTGGTATGTTTCCCATTCTTCCCATTCTTCCTTCTTTAAATGGGAGATATGAAGCAGTCATTTTCTGCTTCACCATTAGCAAAATTTAATAGTCCGTAAACTTCAGGGACACACATTCCAACGTAAGAGGGATCTTTGGCTTGTCCTGGCCACGATAAGTGGGGAACTTTAGGATCTTCCTACCAAAGAGTCAGGGAAAAGGATGTGCATGGCTATTTCATGACTAGAAAGGTAGACTATAGGAAAAATTCCTAGTTACTTACTAGAATACATGTTCTCCTCCATTTTTTAGAGTCTTTGGTTTTGTTTTGTTCCTGAGCTCACCTGACAACTTTTCCAGCCTCCTTTGATGTTAGCTGTGGGCATGTGACTGAGTTTCAGCCAACAGAATATGAATAAATTAGAGCTTGCTACTTCTAGAATCAACCTACAAAAACTTTCCATATGTACCCATTCATCTGGATAAAATGGAGATGACCCCCCAAGCGATGCTGAAAATAATCTGATGAGGATGGCAGAGCCTGTGACATCCTGGATTCTGAATGGCTACACAAAGGAAACCCACTCAACCAACTTGTTTTTTCTCTTTCACACCGCCGTGAGAACAAGAAATAACTTGTAGCATTTGAGCCTTTATACACTTTATATTTATCTGTTACAGTAGGTAGTATCACCCTAACTTAAGTATGTATAGATGTCTCCATATAAATTATTAAGCTGTAATTTTCCTAAAGAGCATTATTAAGGTTCTCAAATGCCAAATGTCTTTGAAATCTGTTCAGTTCAAACTGTATTGTTTATTTGTATATATGGTCACACAGAGCAATCCTAACAACAATACCACCTAACACAGTAAAAGGCATCCCCAAATTAACAATTACTACTTATGTGTAAGAAAACTATAAATTCTGCTAAAAATCTATTTTTCTATTCATAATAATCTTCACATTTAATATTATGGTAATATTTAGGAATGTGCAAAGTAAGACAAAAAATCAAATAATTTAAATCTTCACCTCATAAACCATGTAGCTATCGCATCTAAGATAATACAACCTTAAAATCTCAGAAATGAAACCAAGACATCACCTAATCCTGTATTCTCACTTGTTATTATTTAGAACATTAATATAAGCATCACAAAAAATATCAATAGATATGATATAATTTATTCATGTAGCAACCATTTGCATAGTGTTTAGCATCTACTAATTGTAAAAGGGAGTCAAGTTATTTTAATCTTGATTATGTGGGGCTAGAAAAAATATCACTCCATTTTAGGAGAGAAGTTAGTTTAAATAAATAAATACAAAGACATTATTCCCTCCTCAATTTAGTTTTGTCTGTTGCCTTTACGGAAAATTTTTTAAAGAAGAAAATTACTAAGGCCACCTACTATGCTTCCCTCAATTCCTGCTTGGTCATTTTAACCAAAATCCTAACAGAGATAATACTTCAAAGGCCAGTATTTTATTCATTCCTTATCTATAGTAAATAAAAAAGGAAGAGCTCCATTGAGAATAGTTTTTCAACAAAAGGAATTAGATTTTACTTATTTTAAAATGTACTTTAAATAAACAAAGTGATACCAAAAAAGCTAAAGAACCTATATTTTTATAAAAGCTTATACTCTATGAATTGATACATTTTATATGTATATAACCTGTGACTATAAAATCTTTAAAAGAATTTCAACCTAAGAGATACACTAAGGAGGAACTAGCCTTGAATTTTTGTTCTCAATGATTTTGGTGACTGATAATTCTTAACCAAAATTTCAAAAATTTAAACTTTGTTCTCTGAAATTATTCTACTCTATTCTTTATTCAGTCTATTCTATTTTTTAAGCAAAATACAATTTTTACCAAATGATGAAACAAAAAAATGTTCTAAAGAACACACCCATGCACAAATGACTTACATTTTATTAGCTGTAACAAATACAAAAATGTAGAAAATATTTAACTTTCCTAATAAACACATTGAGGCTATTTTAAATTATCTAAGGAGATTCCCATTCATTTGTATGTTGCAAACTGTCAGTGCCTCAGACATCTAGAACCTCTAAAATGTTCTGACTTCTCTTTGTTCTTCAAAGCCTTGCAGTAATCATCATTCATTTCTATTGCTTTGATGGTGAGATAGCAAACTCCCAAGAAATCCAGGGAGACATTAGCATGTAGAGCCGCAATTTCTAATAACGCAGCTATTTGCATACAAGATCAGCCACAATTTAAAATGTGTTGTGATAGATGTGGAAAGGGAATAACAGATCTATATTAGCATGTACAATACCAAGATTGTTTTCACAATTTAATTCCTTGGAGATTACATCTCATCACCTTCTTTTATAAAGAACACCGCATTCCCTGAGAAACTAAGTTGCTCTGAGACCCAGCTAAACTAAAATATGGATTAATAAGATAATATTTATTATTTATGAATTTCGCTGTAGGAATGATCTCAGATTAAATCATCAGAGAAGTTTTTAACATTATTGAAACTTGGTAACACATACTTAAGGAAGAAAAAAATGCTCATTTTATTTAATGCCTAAATTGCATATTAAAATGTTTCATAATTAATTTTTATTGAATTAAAACTTTACACTCTTCAGGACTTTTCAGATTAAAGAGAGTGTTTTTGTTTTTAATATCCTTTCTTAACCTGAATTTTACACAGCAATTTGCCTCACGTATTTTTAAATACAATATGTGACCTTTAAAAACAAACAAAGGTAATGCAATATCCTATCACATTCCGACCAAGTTACTTTATTGCTCATTTATACCTTTTTTATGAAATCCAGAAAGAATAGGTAAAGAAATAAGAAACCTGAAGCCTCCACATATGTCTCTGCTTCCAGAAAAGCATTCAATCCAGACTGTGACATTTAAATACAGATCAAAACACAGGTTATTAAAAAATTCAACCCATGACCACAGAAAACATAATCATCTCAGTTTTTAAGGCTAAAAGACCCTTCCTTAAAAAAATTCTTACTTTAGTATGAAGTTATAAATATGCAGAAGATATGCCTATTTGTTTATGACTGGATGAGAATTGAGAACCAATCATGAAAATAAAATAAATATTATGCCGATGTTAGGATGAACAATGTAGTGAATAAATAAAGAAGGCACTTGTCCCTGATCCGATGCATTCATTACTCCCAGACTGATGGTTTAAAAACTCAAAGCTCATCACAAAAGCAACATATTTAAGTCATCCAAATAATGGCCCATATCCCAGATAAAACTTAATATACAGGACCATTAATAACACAACGTTGTCATGTGTTCCTTACTCATGTTCTGGTGCACTATCAAATTCAACTTTTAGTTCCATGATTTTGACAAGTTCATTCACATTTTTATGAATTTACTCATGCTCTACTATGTACTTTAAGTGTCATTTCCATATTCCCCCACTTGTGGTATATATATTTTAATATTTCAAGCAAAAGCACATGCTTCAGATCTCCAGAGATAATTCTCCACACTTAAGGAAATGAAAAAAATAAGTAGTTTAGGAAACAATCTAAGTGTGACACAGTAGACAATGTACACTTTGACATAAGTATAATATCGAAATAAATTATTACAAGCAGGAACAAATTCCTGTTGTGTAAAACTGGAGAGCTAACCAGTGGTCTTCTTAATGTTTTCAGGGATCAAAGTGACTACCTCACCTTCACTTTATTAATTTCCTTTATAGCTGCAGAAAAAAAAATATGTCA